AATTAGCGTCAAATATGCTTTGTTACAACATCATTGATTGGCTGAGAGTCACCTGATCCGAGCACACAACCTGGGTCACAGAACCATATTTGTCCGTATTATCAACAGGACTTTGCGAGAGAACCCACCCACATTTTCAACCATTTTTAGCGCGGAAGTTGCCAACAAATGTCGAAAAACTTGAATTTGAATAAAATAAAGCTAGCGATTGGTAAGACTGGTTAATAATATATCCCCCGATACTCGCCGATTTTTTTAAATTTTATTTCAAGGTGAGAAATGGATAATTCAAGTTGCATCGATTTCAAGGCGACTGTTTCACCGCGACAACTCTATGCCGTGTTGTAGTAGTTTCGCGAGGTAAAACAAAAATATAGATATAATAAATAGTACTTGTTTAATTATTTGGTTTTAAAGCCCGCAAATTACAGGACATGATCCCCATGAATTACGATAAATAAATGCTGATTGTGTTGAATGACTGACGTCGGGACCGTTTGGAGAAACCAACGGGGTTCGATATTCCAAACAAATTATTGGGACACGGTTGGTAGACATTTCAAACAAATGAAATTATTAACGAAAGACGAGATTTTCCAGATATTTACGAACATACTGTCATACTAAATATATGCAAAATTGACAAATACACAAAGAGATATTAGGTTTTATTTTAGCCTTAGAAATATTTTCTTTCACTCAGGTCCATGCGTGGGACTTCTATTTAGCTTCATGGTCCTTCGGCTTGTCTTCTCCTTGGGGGAAATAACAATAATTATACAAATTGTAAACTCAACACAGTCAGGAAAAGAAACCCAGACAACCATGTCGTACTTCTGTTGAAATACATTTTGTAGCAGTGTGTCACGTCAGAATAAGTTGTTTAAAATAAAATAGTCAATCCCAGCCAAATCTAGGTCAAAGGGTCAGATTGCGTGCATATAATTATTGATAGTTAAAACTAAAAGTATTTGAACTATAGACAGTTGTTCAACATCTATGCACGGTTACTAAACTAGTTACTAAACTAGTAACCGTGATCTATGAAAATCAGAAAATTGTTAGTAGTCAGAATTTTTGCACAGTCGAAAATAAAGCGGAAATTCAACAAGCGGTCGCAAAAGTGAGTGATTCGAAAGCGGAAGCGGGCGAGAGCTTGGGCGAAATGAGTTCTGTACTTCTTTGTTTGATGAAGCGATGCTGATGCCACATTGTCGCCATAATGAGGCCACAATGAAGCGAAGCGATGACCGCCTCAACTTTTTATGTCGCGACATTGAAGCGACGCTGAAGCCATAACAATGCCATAATGATGCGATGCTGAAGCGAAGCTGACGCTGAAGTGAAGCCAAAGCTTCCGCGAGAACTGTACTGTATTAGCTAAAACACCATGGAAGGCTGGTTATGAAATTGTATTCTTTTACACACAGTATTCAGAAAAGTAATAAGAGTAGATGGCAAATTAGTCTGCAGTTTCCTTTTAAGGAAACCTCTGTGTATTCTTTTTTTTTACATTTGCATAGTTAACTTAATTTTCAGTTTAGGCATCCCAAAAAATAATTTTTCCCAAACTTGATGACGCTAACCAGGGTTTTAGCCAGAAAATAGAAAATACCTGTCTAAAAACTTTATCGAAATAAAAGACAGTAGTCTCTGATCTGTAACCATATAATTACAATCAATTTTTTGATGATTATTTATGGTTATTTTGTAATTTACTGGTAATATTTTCAATAAAAATTAAGACGGGTTTGTATTTTGCATCAGTCTAAAATGATATGTGGACAGTTGGGTGGCTAATGGCGATCCAACCTCACTTTGGTTCCAGTATCCCTGATCTGTATACAGTTAAATACTTTATTTTCACTTGGAATTAATTATCGCTATTTTTGCTGAAGGACCGATTCAGTGAAAATAAAATATAGCAAATAAACATGTGATCCAACATGGCAAAGAAAGTATGAAAGAATTGTCGTGTTTGTAGGCCTTGAATAAACTACTGTAGAATAATTTATTTTCACTTGAAATTGATATTCACTCAATGAATAAATCAATGAAAACAAAATCCAGTGAAAATACCCTTTTCCTATATTTTACAGTCAACTTGTCAAAAATAAGTGAAAATAAATTCTATGCAAAACACCCAAAAAGTCTTCTCAGCAGATTGCTAGCCAGCCACCAGTCCACTCAACTTTTTTCCATTTTTTGTTTTTTTTCTATTGTTTCTATTGTCTATAATTTTACCAAAATATATTGAAAACCATCGACATTTTCATGAAGTTGAATTGTTTTAGACTGGCAGTTGCAAATTCCAGGCTAATAGCCTGCTTCTCAGCGAAAATTAATTCCAGCTAAAATAAAGTATTTCACAGTATTGTCAAAGTCTAATTCAAAGCCAATGTATCTGTTCATTTCATTCACAGATAGTGACCCGAGATTTCTAGAGAAATTAGAGATTCAACAACCGGCGTATTTAGCGTTGAGTTACATTATGAGGTAAGTCTATACAACGATGGTCGGTAGTCGACAGGATATTGTCCGTGTTCGTCATGGCCGTATGTTTTTGGTGGTCATCTGGATGGTGGTTGCCAGGGCTGTGTGTTTTTAGTGGTCATAGTAGTTTGTATTTGGTGTAGATTACATACTAAGCATAGTTACAAATGTACTTGTGAGACAGTTTGATTTAAGTGTTCATGGATTGGTAATGCCTGTGTAGTGTGAAGGTTTTGGTGTAAAGCATGTTTTATTAGTCCCCGTTCGGACGTAGTCCGAAAACGGGGACTTATGTTTTGCCCTGTGTGCGTGCGTCCGTGATCACCTGTATCTCGAACATACATGAACCGATTAAGTTCAAACTTCAATCATACATCACACATTATATGGGACATATGCACATGCATTTTTTTCATGATCCGATTAACGATAGTCGAATAGCGGCCATTTTAAGGCCGAAATTGCATCAAAATCACACATTTTCACAATTCCGGACCCGGATCTCAGTTATACATGGACGAATTTTGTTCAAATTTGCTACATACATTAAATATAATAGGACCTTGATGCACATCATTTTTTTTTTCTGGATCGGGTTTGAAATGGCCGACTTGCGGCCATTTTGTTTTAAAGAATTCAGTTCCGGATCCGTATCCGAGACATGTCTGGATTGATCAAGTTCAAACTTCACACACACAAGGTACATCATGTCACAAATATGTATGTGCATTTGTTTCATGATCTCATTAACGATAGCCAAATGGCAGCCGCTTTAAGGCCGAAAATGCATTGAAATCGCACATTTTCACCATTCCGAACCCGGATCTCAGTTATGCATGGACGGATTTTGTTCAAATTTGGTACATACACACGTGGCAATGTTTTGAAATAGAAAAAACGTCGAAATATGCCTTATAAAATGAGTTTTTGTTTAGACTAAAAGCACAGTCATAGATACTGTCATAACCATCAATAATTTAAAATAAAAAAAATATTGAAAAAAAACACATTAAACATATGCTTAACCCCTTAAGGCTGAAAATGCATTGAAATCGCACATTTTCACCATTCCGGACCAGGATCTCAGTTATGCATCGACGGATTTCGTTCAAATTTGGTACATACATTAAACATAATAGGACCTTGATGCACGTCTTTTTTTTTTTTTCGGATCAAGTTCGAAATGGCCGACTGGTGGCCATTTTGTTAAAGAATTCAGTTCTGGATTCGTATCCAAGACATGTCTGGATTGATCAAGTTCAAACTTCACACATACATGGTACATCATGTCACAAATAGATATGTGCATTTGTTTCATGATCCGCTTAACAATAGCTGAATGATGACCATTTCAAGGCCGAAAATGCATCAAAATCACGTATTTTCACAATTCCGGAACCAGATCTCAGTCATGCATGGATGGATTTTGTTCAGATTTAGTACAATGTGTTGTACATATGCAGGTGCATTTCGGTCACGATCTGCTTTGAATGTATATGTCAATCAAATATGAACGGAACGGGGACGTGTCATTGACAATGACTTGTTGTAACTGAATTAGTAATGTTCTGGATGAGGAAATGCCCACGTCCAATTTCTTGGCAGACTCAGAATGAGGCTCCAGCTAGAGAACCTAATTAGCATACAAGGGTGATTTGTGACGTCACGGGGGATTTTGTCATTGTTTCATGATGGCCGCTATATGTATGCAGTGCTCGGAAATCTATCTTATCATCGTCTGACGAGAGTTATGAGATCGAGGAATATGATGACAACGAGAGATGTCACGATTTTGTTTTAGAGTGCCATTGACAAATTGGCCCATACAGGTTTGAACCTGCGAGAAAAGTAGGTGATGTGGGTGACCTCCCCAAAATGATCGTGACGATTCAGGCACAGAGTTTGAACATCATGATCGAAAATCTTAACGTTGTTATTTTTCTATTAAACTCCACCTGAACAATGTATCGGTAATGTTCGAAAATCTGCACTCTAAAATGTTAATTTTTGTGCGTCCGTTAGTTAGCGTGTTCTATTTCTGGTAGGACGAATACCTATAACTGCAAGATCAAAACAAATGAAACTGTACTGATAAATGATTCTGGGCGTAAAATGGGCACTGCAGATAACGTTAGAAGGTTCATCCCAATATATGGTGTTCTTGATGACTTTGGTCCACTGATGTCGTAAATTTTGGGAACGCATAAAGACTTACGCGATTGTTGTGTACTGCTACACCCACCAACAACACAGCGTTTCCCCATGATAACGATCATAGTAGCTTGTTGTATATGCTGTTTTACTAAACACGTGCTATCTCCTGCTTTATGGTATGGTGGCGCGTGCATATGAAAAATGGTAAACAATCCTGTCTGCTCGCTATTTCCTGCTTTATGGTCACATTGGTGGCGCCATTTTGGCAACACTCGTTATGTTGTAAAAACTCAAAGGTGATGGAAGTGGGGGGAGGGGGGGGGCCGTGGCCCATTTTCGGAATATCATTGACTGTTTACCCAGTTTATATACCCTTTTCACTTGTTTTTTTTTCATAATGTTGTTTATGAATCAATTTTGCACACAAAAAAAGTCGACTGTCCCAATTCAGTTACACTTTAACGGAAAAATCAGTGAAAACAAAATCCAGTAAAAATATCCTTTTTTCTATGTTTTACATTCAACTGAAAATCAGTGAAAATAAATTTTTTTTACAATACAAAACATCCAAAATGTCTTTCGTCTAAAAATTAATTCCAGCAAAAATAAACTATTTTACAGTAATATCAAACTTGAAAATATTCATAACTGTATTTGACTTTGGATGTATGGCTTAACATTTTTTTAATAATTTCTGAGTAAAATTGAAATACCGGTACGCGTGGAACAAAAAAACATGAATATATAACATACCGCTGGTTATAAAGGTGAAATTGTTTCTGGGAGTGGTTAACATCTCAAAATAATGGTACAGTGGCCCCTCGCTAAGTCGTGGGTGTCGAGTCCAAGCAAAAACCGCGACTTATCGAGGGCTGCGACTTAGCGAGGTTCTTGGAAAAGTGGCTATTTATTCAAACAAAGGGACAGAATAAAAGCAATCAACATGTGTCTTTATTAAAAGGTTGTCATTGATCATATACATGTATATGTTTATTTTGTTTGTGTCCAACGTTCTGTGGGTTACTTGTCGATGCTTGTGTCTTGGATGGCAATATTTTCCAAAATAAACCTGCTTCGTCAGCATTATAAATTTGTTCCTCCGAGTAACCACCAGCTTTGATAATTTCTTTCAATTTTCTTGGAAAGTTTCTTGCAGCCTCAAGATCCGCTGATCTAGCCTCCCCTTGTACAGAAATTTTATGGACAGCGTGTCTATTTTGCCAACGCCAGAACCACCCAGCGCTGGCCTCAAAGTCGAAGTCCTGTCCTCGCAATTGTTTAGCCAGGATGCGAGCCTTCTCCCGTATGATGGGACCAGACAGTGGCGTTCCTACAGATCTTTCTTGAATAAACCATACATATACAGCTTAATCGATGTCTTCATTGTCTGCCAGTTTAGCTCGTTTTCGTTTGAGTCCAGATTCTTGGTCCACATCGAAAATAAACTTCCTCAGCTTAGTTTCGTCTTTCACCTATCCCGAATAGTGGATTCACCTACGTCGAGGTCACGTGCGATCTTCGCCTTGGTTTCACGTTGGACTTCTCTAGTATGTCCATGATAAAAGTAAACCCGAAAATGATGTTTATTTCTTGACTGAAAGCCGATCACACTTTCACACCTAGCCATTGTTTATGTTCACTCGTTGGCCGCGTACTCGCGGTGTGTGTCGGCATACCTTTGAAATACGGTGCTAATTGATAGCACTGTTTGTAATCATAGTCTGACAGTCGGCATGCTTTTTAAAACTTCACACATTTATGAATAAAAACGAACTGACTCATGCACAAAGAAAAAAATGGACATCAAAAACAATACATGTACATGTGTACTATGATTTTAGGAGCCATGGTGATACCCGCGACTTAGCCGGGACCGCGAGTTATTGAGGTATGAGTTAGCGAGGGGTCACTGTATCTTCCCTTTACATACTCTACTGATGGGAAGAAACCACTTACAATTCTTTAAACCAGGCACTGGACGCTTGTCTGAAAGTAACTGACCGATTACAAATTTGCTCACCTAACATTAGTATTTAAATGATACATGCTGTTGTGGTAATATTCATAATCTGTTTTTATATGTATTTACAATATCTTTATTATTATTATTATCAGGTTTGTGACGGACGCTGCACGCGAACTTATGAAAAAGAAGAAAACTCATTCGTTGAATAATTCACAACGAAGTACAACACCCACAGGTAAATAAATGTAGTTCATATCGTGTGTATTAGATGGGGGGTTTGCAAACTGGTTCAATGTTCTTCCCAGGCCTCTGAAGCATCATGGTACCGTGACGCTTGGACACTCGCCCGTGATGCTTATTGCTTTGTTTACAAGTGTCAGTCTTGTTTTGAACATCTTTAAAACAATAACATGTATTGATTGAAAGGTAATCACTCTTTTGTTAGCCTTACAAAGACGGTTTTGAAATGAAAGTCAGCAAAAAGTCACCAAATGCATCATCCTGGCTTAATTGCTGAACAGATCCCCGTGACAAAAACCATAAACCCATTTTATTAATTTTATATTCAAAATCAGTTTGATCAGAACAAATCCGTCGGACTTGTAAAAACTGAGAGAACGGTATAGAGTCTTTATAACGTTTAGGATGACATGAATCATACAAAATGTATGAATGTGAATTCGTCGATATCTAAAAAAAAATGCTGTTACTGGAAACACTGGAAGTGAACTCTAAAGATGGATGAAATGTTGATACAAAATTAATAAAATTATCAAGTTCACTGCGAGTACACGATGCTGCCCCAGCACAATCATCAATTAAAAACGTTCTGGCCGATATAAGTATTAAAAATAGCTCTTTCAACGTACCCCACAAATAAACATGCATAGGAAGGGACTATATGGGTGCCCATAGCAACGCCCCAAACTTGAGTATAAAACTCATTGTTAAATGAAAAACAATTTAAAGTTATAAAGTGAGCTTGTGTGCATTCTTATACCAGAGGACCACCTCAGAAAAGATGATTTTTTTGTAAAAAAATGATTTCTACAACACTTTTACAATTAAAGAAACAAACATGTTTACGAAAGCAAGCATATTTTATTACAATACAATTTACATATTATCTGAATTTACGGTGTAAAAATAAGTAGGGTCTGTGGGATACAGTCTTTATCATAATCTTCGTTTTGGGATGTATTGACTACACAAACTCTCCGAACAAAACAATTCCTGCCATGGTGTATTTTTGCACGATTTGACCTTAAACAATGTCCTTTGACCTAACAGGTCGAGTCTTTAATTAACCAATCAAAATGCTGTGTCATACTGATGAAGTTTACCAGAAATTTTTGATTATTGGCCACTGTAAAAAACTTTTATTTTGGCTGGAATTTTTGCTGAATAGACTTTTTGGATGTTTTGTATGGAATTTATTTTCACTGATTTTTGACGAGTTGAATGTACAATATAGGAAAAAAAGGTATATTCGCTGGATTTTATTAAAATACCAAAAATCAATAACATAATGTGGAAGTTAAAATTAGATCTGTTATCCTGAGAATGTTGTTTTTCCCACTAAAAACTGGTGATTCACAATTTTAGAAAGATAAACCAGAATTGGAGGAGGTATTTAACACATTTCATGGTCATCAACAGGTCACACTAAAGCATAGTTTACTTGTTCATGTCCTATTCATGATAGTCTCAATTGACACTCATTATTTGAACACGATGTCCAATGACTTTCACGACTTGATGGTTAAATTTTTGTCATTTCGAAAACTACCACTCAAAGAGATATGGATTACACTTTTAATAGTATTGTAACATTAGGTTCATTTTGAGTAATAAAAACATGTTGCGTTGTTCTCCATGCACTCTGAAATTAAGGTGACTTTTCTCGTAAAAACACGAACCAAACCTGCTTCAAAAAGAGAACTACCATACTAATCAAAATTTTCATGCAATAAAACTCACTTTTAACCCATCGTCAGTGCCTTGTAAAAAAAAAAACTACTAAGGCTTAAAACCAGGGGATGCCCTCAAATAGTTAAATTTCGAAAAATATGTGGGTGTGCTTATATCCACGTTATGACCGGGAAATACGGTAATCTGTGTTATATACACAGCTTTATGTAAATCTTAATCTATTAGATACTTATCATGACAGAAAATATTTTTATTAAAATTATAAATATATATTTCCGGTTTCTCTGCAGGAAGTGAATTTGATGAGGATGAACCGTTCAGTGAATCAGAAGACAGCGACGATTCATGGACAACACAAGAAGAGTTTAGTTCAGAGTTGATACTTAGTATGATGAACACAACGGGCGGGGACGAGAAACCGTTTGCGTGCCCAGTTCCGGGATGTAAAAAACGATATAAAAATGTAAACGGTATTAAGTATCATGCCAAGAATGGACATCGGAAAGACACTAAGGTGACATATTATTTGATATATTTTGTTTGTAAAAAATGGTGTATAAAGTAGTATATGTTATATACCAAATGGAACTATTAAGGTATGTGCAAGATATCTGTGGTGGAAATTGTTACCCGAATTGGTGGAATATTAATGAACCTGTCAGTCGTTGCATCACATACTAAACAAAGACCAGTGACAATCACCGAGGGTGTCACAAGATGGTGTCTACATGGGTTGCAAGTCTCTTGCAAGTTTATTTCGTGCTAACCCATCTTTCGCCATTTTCCCATAATACCTTATTTTATTGTAAAAACACCAAAAAATACTGTAGACTGTATGCAAATCTAAATGAGTGGTTTTGCATGCAGCATTGAGAGACATAAACATCACAAATATCACCTCACTAGTTGAAATGTAGCCACTAAGCATTACGTCTTATTAGAGAGGTTGTTTGATTCAAGAAAACAAATGAGTTTAAAACAACAAACATCTCCAGTTTGGATATCATAATAATAAATGTGAAATCTTGTTCAATTGCGATATACTAATAATTCGCTTGTTTATTCTTGAAGGTACAAATGTGAAAATTTAACTTAAAATTATTTTTTTATGTGGTCAAAATAACCACCAGTGCGCTTTTTTTAGCTCCGCTGTCGACTTTGTCGAGCGGAGCTTATCATATGAGTGATTGTTCATCGGCGTCCGTCGTCATCCATGTCAATGTTTCACTCTTTCGACTTCTTCTTGAAAACTAAGCCTGAATGCTTTGATACTTGGTGTATATGTGCCTTGGGTAGACCTCTCTTAGATTTGTTCATTTCATGTCGATATCTTCAATTCTTTAATTTTGGTGAATATTTTTGTAATTTTTGGTAAAAAGTGATATTTTGACTTCTTGTTAAAAACTGCGAGTCCAATTGCTTTGATATTACATACATAGGTACTACATGTGAACCTCTCTCAGATTTGTTCATTTTGTGATGATATCTTCAATTCTCTAATTTTGGTGAATATTTTTTAGTCCCCGTTCGGACGAAGTCCGAAAACGGGGACTTATAATTCGGTCTCCGTCCGTCAGTCTGTCCGGAGTCGTATCTCAGAATCCCTTGGACCGATTCCGTTCATTCTTTGCATGTGCCTAGTACTTTACGTGGGACATATGCACATGCAGTGGTTTAGCGATTCGCTTCAAAATGGCCGACTGGCAGCCATCTTGTTTTTTGAAAATGTTTCATTTTGGACGTGCTTTGTTAGTTTTCATTCAAACTTGGTACATAGATTATACACGTTAGGATACATGTCCACGACGATTTATTTCACAATTGAATCAAAGATGGCCGACTGGCAGCCATCTTGTTTTTTGACAATGTCGCATTTTGGACATGCTTTGTCAGTTTTCATTCAAATTTAGTACATAGATCATACATGTTAGGATACATGTCCCTGACCGTTCGTTAGTTCCTGAGTCTGTCTGTCCGCCCGTGCGTCAGTCTGTCCAGAGTCATATTTCAGAATCCTGTAGACCGATTCCGTTCATTCTTCGCATGTGCCTAGTCTTATGTGGGACATATGCACATGCAGTGGTTTAGGGATTCGATTCAAAATGGCCGACTGGCAGCCATCTTTTTTTTTTTTAAATGTTGTATTTTGGACATGCTTTGTCAGTTGTCATTCAAACCTGGTACATACATGTACTTTATACATGTTAGGATACATGTCCATGACGTTTATTTTCGCATTTGGATCAAAGATGGTCGACTGGCAGGCATTTTTTTTTTTTTAATGCTGTATCTTGGACGTGCTCTGTCAGTTTTCATTCAAATTTGGCACATACGTGTACTTTATACATGTTAGGATGCATGTCCATGACAATTTGTTTCAAAATCTGGTCAAGGATGGTTGATTGACAGCCATCTGACTTTTTGGCCTTACCACTATATTTTCACAATTTATGTACCATTTTCATTCGTATTTGGCACATACATCATACATATCAGTGTGTTTCATAATCAGATCAAAGATGGCCGAATAACGGCTGTTTTTATTTTGGCCATATTACTACTACACAGAACACATGTTTTGATGTAAATAAACAATCTGTTGTATACGCCACTTGGAACTCAAGTTTCAAGGACACCCTTGCGACAATCCCTCCGGAGCTATCTCAGCCAACAGGCTGCTTGTTCTTATATTCTTCAATATTTTTGACTCCCATGTGCGAAGCACAAAATGGGAGTCTTTGCAGTTAGTGTGTCTGTATGTGTGTCTGTATGTGTGTGTGTATGTGTGTATGTGTGTGTGTGTG